GGGCGGCACCGCCCAGCCGGGCGGTGCCGCCCCGCGGCGTGCGGCGGAGCGCTGCCCTCGGCGGGGCGGGCGGGCTCCGAGCGCGGCCTCCGTGCTGCGGCGTTGGGCCGCGTTCCGCAACGCCGGCGGCAACGGCGCGGACAGCCGCGTCCGTGTCGGCTGTGGTGTCTGTAGAGCGGCTTCTGGGTACGCTCGGGAGTGATTGTTAGTTGACAGCCCTGGGCAGCCCGAGTGTCCTTTCACCTGCTCTTTTCAGCCTCGGGCTGAGGGTTGTTGATGAGTGGCTCGTTATACGCCAGCCCAATGGAATCCGTTCCGGGATTCAGTAGATGCGTTGTAACAGAACGAAGCTGTCTTCGGAAGTGTTTTTAGGTTACTTGTATCTCCGAATATAGGAAGTGGAGAGTGACTGTACAGGTCCTCTTTTAAGGCTCTTATGTATATTTTCAATTAAAAGTGTGTGAAAAGCTAGCATTTTCAAACAGAATTTTTATTGAGGACATACTTAATATAGTTTATATGCTTGAATTACACCAAAACTATCAAGTGCAAACATTTTTTACTGTCATAGCTAACAGACCCATGCTGGTTCTTCATAGAATTACAGAACAGGTTGGGTGTAAGGGACCTTGAAGCCCCTCCAGTTCCAACCCTATGCTGTGGGCAGGGCTGCCACCCACCAGCTTAGGCTGCCCAGAGCCCTATCCAACCTGGCTGTGAAAGAGATGGGGCACCCATAGCTTCTGTGGGCAGCACTGCGAGTGTCTCACCACCCTCTGGGTAAAGAATTTCTTCCTGACATCCAACCTAAATCCTTCTCTCTTCTAGTTTGAAGAGTTCTTAGGAGGGGATTGAAAAATGAGCTGATGAGGACCTTTTGCTCAGCGGCTCTATATCCATCACAAATAGCTCTAGAACAATTTCAGTAGCATTCCACAGTTTGAAAAGTCATAACTTCAGGAAAAGAGTTGTTCAGAAATGGAATCCTACACAATTGTGTGCCTGTACTATAGTCATTGAAGGTTGGCACAGTAATGGGATTCTAATAGGAAAAATGTCATTCAGGAACTGTACACGTTGAAAAACTGGAATCTCACCAGTAAGTTCGCCTTACAGGGAGATTCACTTGTGGTTTTAAATTTGATTAGTAGGCAGACTACAACACTTCTTGTGTAGGAAGACAAGAACCAGAGTAGGAAGTACAGCCCTGCTGTCAGCTGGCCACTTCTATGCTGCCTTGGGAAAAAGCAGCCCTCTCCTCTCCTGTTGGTCACTTGTTCCCAACCCTGCACCTTCTTTCTCTACCATCCCTACCTGCAGTGTGAGCAGCTTTGTGGCAAGGCATGTGTGGAAACACACCTGGCTAAATGTTAGCTAAACAAAAGAAAAAAGGGCAGTATTTTCAGCATTTGGTTTGGTTAGCTGTGTTAACTAACGCTCAGCTTCGAGAATGTCTTGGCACAAATAAGGCTGAGGAAATTCGTAGATGAGGCCTTGCTTTTAGGGCCAGTACTTGGAAAACAAGTTCTGCATGGGAAGTACCCTTTTCACATGTGGAGCAGTTACAGCTGCGGGCAGAACGTGTCAAAATGAGCTTAAAAGTGTCATTTTGTTTTTCGGCATAAGGTTGCTGAAAGCCTTTACAAAACCTTTTCATTTAAATAAAACTGACATGTGGAAAGCATATTGAAGTGCTAATTGATTGCTAGCATTTAATTTCTTTCTTATATATTGTAATATAAATCTAGAACTAGAAAAGAAAATGATGAAAGGCTTCGAAGTGGTTACTTGTTTGAGGTTATGTATAATGTGCATTTAGCCAGCATGTGTGGTCTGGAACAAATTAGCACAGCTTCTTCTGCAGCTGTGCTGCTAAATTTGTACAATGGACAGCAGTGCAGGAGATAACCTCTCCTAGCTTTAATGATCTGGCTGGAATACTGGCTGAGTATCCTTAGTGCTGCCTGAGGCTCACAGGGAGCGCATTTACTCGTAAGATAGCATGTAAAATTAGTCTGGGTGGAGCTCTGTGCTGTTGTGTGTTGGCAGCTTCTGCATAAAGTAGCTCTGCTACACCAGTGTAATTATCACTATTGTAGTGCTTTGTGTGATGAATACACCATTCAGATAGGTGTGCTGCTGTCTATATGCTCTTGGTCTGAATCCACATTTTGATAGCTAGGTTATTTTTTTTTATACTAACAGTGCTCTGCCTTGTGCTTTCCACTCCGACTTTTAATTTCAAAGCTTACTTTCAAAATAGGATGCTTTCCAAAAGCATTACTGTTCTTGAATCAAGTCCAGATCCTGAATAGAATTGTACAGAGTTCTGTTGCTTGAGGTGTGGTGATGTATACAGAGATCAGTGGGAACTTGTAGGTCAGTTTTGCAGTCCTTGAAGTTGTTCAAATTAACAGGCTGTACGTAAGCAAGTACAGAACCTCTTTAGAATTAGGTTGTGCACCTGTGTAAAACAGTAATAGTGTTAAGAATTAAGACATCCTTAAAAAAGTGTTGAAGTGTTTTAAATGCAAGATAGCATTTGAAATCTGAGCCTAAATTGAATTTCCAGGATCTATTTAGACTTTCAAAAGCCAAATTATATTCAAAATCTGTAGCTGCCTTTGTTTGCAGTATGTTTTTAAAATCAGCACACATGACTTCCTTAAGAAAGAATTCACAACCGTAATTTCCTGTACTTGTAGGTACCATCAGATATGTGGTAGGAGCTGAAATACTGAGTATTTTGAGAGGTACCATTCACAGAACTCCAAGGGTGTGTAGGGGTTTGGAATGAAAGCTACAGTAAAGTGAAGCCTCTTGGATTATGCAGCATGGCTTCTTGGTGCATAGACCAGCACAGAAATTCTGTTTGTGACATGGTCCTGAAATAGAATCCTGCAGAGGCCAAGGAGAGATTCCTGAGATACACACCTTTAACTGCTTATTAGCCTTGATCAATAGAAATATGTAGAATATTTAATCTTCATTAACAGAAGATTAGAAGGGATATATAGATAGATAGTTCCCGTTGTCCTTGTTGCTGATTTGCCTTCTGGAATTTTCTGTAACGGGGAGGACTAGAAACTGTGAAGGTGCTTGTCCTTGCTGCTGTGAATTCAGGGATGTGTGTTTGGCATAGTAAAACAGCAGGTCAATACAGTGTGTTTTAAGAAATAAGTTCACTAATTCTACCATTTTAATTCTATATCTCATTTATAGCTTGTCAGTGAAATGATAAATGAATCCTAGAGAGAATGGTAATAAAACATAAAATATAAATGTTTATATAGAATAATCAAATTGCTGAGATGGTGTGCTGAGTGACCACGAGTAATACAAAGTGATATTTTAACACTAAAGTGATTGAGAGGAAAAATAAATGATGGGAGAGGTCCGTTCCACATATTGGTGATAATGTAACATTGCATACTGATACAAGTACATGGAGAGTACAAAGTAACTCTCCTTGAAAAGAATGTATTGATATAATTAAAATACATATTTGAAATTATTTGCAAGTAAAGATTTGATGAGTAACTCACTTTCTAAATTTATTCGTTGATGTTTATTTGTAATGATTGTTTGTATTCTTAGGTAAAATTTGGAAATACAACGTTTAAGACAGATGTATATCCAAAGTCACTCAATCCTCAGTGGAATTCTGAATGGTTTAAATTTGAAGTAAGTATTTTCTGAGAGTTTACCTGTGTCTGCATGGATGCCTTTGATGAAATAATACCACTTTAGACAGAAAAATGTTTTGGGTAGTGAAAGTAATTCTGTTTAAATACATATGAAGCCATTCAGTAAATCTATTTATGGTCAAACTGTATTTGCCAATGGTATCTCATTGGCTTTTTTTTTTAAGATTCTTTATAAAGAGAAAAACTTGGCACATGGGATGCAACTCAAGTGTTATGGCAGAGGTAAAAGCTTTATCCAGTAGGCCTTCAGGTATCCGTGTGGCTTTGCTCCTTTTCCTTTCTTTTTTCGTTTTTCTTTTTTATTTTTTAAGAGTAATTTTGAGTTGAGTAAGGTTAGCTGCTATTTGAACTGTTACTTTGGCTAGAGGAAGTGATGCACTTGACAAAGGAAACAGAGGATTTATGTAAGAAAATTAAAAAATGAAGTGTTTGCACAGCAGTTGCCTGATGCTTTCTTTCGCATTTCCTTATGTAATAATGAGGACACTTGGCGTTCTCCCATAATTGCTTGTTCCTTTCAAGGATCTGATTAGTTCATTTTGATGGACTGAATACAGTAGTACTGTAGGTGTCCTTTGATATTGTGCCCTGAACTACTGCTTACATATTTACTTTTTGTTACTGCCTTTTTGTTACACTTAAAAAAAATAAATTGTGTAATGGTGTGTAGAATTAATTACTTGTTACAATATTTGGATGCGTAGTACTGATTTGTTTATACTGTTCTAAGATAATATCTCAGTATAAACATGTTGGCAAATAGGTGTGCGTGGAGTAGAGTGATGTTAGAGCAGGTATGAATCAGTAAGCTTAGGCAACTTATTGATGTGAAATCCTTGTAGAAGTACAGCTCATAATTGCAGTCCGTGTTTATTAAGAAAGCAGAACTACAATGTTGAAGTTCACTCCGTTCTTTAAGTTCTTTTTTTTTTTTCTTAATTTTTTTCAGTTCCTTGGTTTTTTTTTTTCCTTTTGGGAGGTAGAAGAAATTAGCTGAACTGTATGGAGGGTTAACTCTCTTAGTTCAGAAAGAGCTTTTTTTGACAATAACGGAAGTCTTAAAATTCTCTCTTTCTGCATGGAAAAATGGATTTGGGAAAGGAAAGAGCCAAACAATAACATTGGAAAAAAAAATAAAAATCAGAATTCCACATTTCAAAGAGTGGAAAAACACCAACTGTTTAAGAGATCGTAAGTGTGTGTGTGCAGTTTGACCTTCTAGCAACACTGTGTTGAAATTCTGCAAACGCTTACACCAGTCTTCCCATTAGGTTTAGCAGGACTTGTCCTTGCTTTGTGGTGTTCAGCACAAAAAGTAGGAGAATCTTATATCTCCAAAAAAAAAAAAAAATAGCCAGTGTGTCTGAAGATGGATTATTGCATTCATTTAGGAAAGTGCATGTCTGAAATTAGTTAATTTTTGCTGTGAGTTGTATAAAGTATCTTGTATTCTTTGTAAGCCTCCGATCAGTGTTGAAATGGGAGAGCATAACTTCAGGGTGTCACAGTCCTCTGAGACTCTTTACGTTAAGTTTTCACATTTTATTATGAAAAGTATATATATTATGGAGATGGGTAAATACTGTGGCTTAAAATAATGTGGAATTTTAAGCTATGCAATCAGTGTAATCTTGTTTTTCTGTACTTCTCCCAGTGATAACTCTTGTTTCAGGTTTTCAGCATTTGATGAAGGTCAAAGTAAAAATAATGTGTTGTTTAGATCCAGGAAGTAGAAATTAGATTTATCTGTGTCATGTCTCTGTACATAACTGACTCACCTCTTACTGTGCTTGTTTTTCCAGCAGTGTTCCCCTGCTTTTTTTTTTTTTTTTTAAGTATTCAAATTCCATGTCAATATTTATTTCTAGGTAGATGATGAAGAGCTACAAGATGAGCCTCTCCAGATCACAGTTCTTGATCATGATACCTACAGCGCTAATGATGCTATTGGCAAAGTATACATTGATATCGATCCCTTGCTCTATAGTGAAGCAGCTACAGTTATTTCAGGATGGTTTCCAATTTATGATACCATCCATGGTAAGGTTTGCTAATTTTGTTGTTTTGCATTGTTGCTTTCTGTAAGCAGTCCTCAGAAATGTGTAATAATTTTAGCCTCAGGAGCTGGAAAGCTCCAGTTTTGGTGCTTTTATCAGCTCTTCAGTAAGTTAAGAATGCCATCTGAAATCCGTGACAAAATACTTCTGGGACTTTTCATGTTTAATAGCAATAATGATCATATATGAAAGATGTCTAATATTTCTGACATTAGAAAGTCTCAACTACTGTGCCAGAATATTAAGGCTTGGCAGAATGCCTTTCATAAAATTTGTGACAAGTGGAAAACATCTTCTCATACTATTTAAAATAGTTGGTGGAAATAGTTACTGGAAAAATCAGTTAAAAAAAACAACCCTAAAACATACTTATTCAATTACTTTGTGTTTACTAAAAGAATGTGTTTTTGCTGAAGTTACTTACGATGTGCCTTCCTGGGGTGTTGGATAAGCTTCATTTGAGATGATGGGGCAGGATATGACAAACATAAAATGCAGGGTGAAACTCCATTTCCCTGCCAGCAGTCCTAGGTAGAGTTCTTCAGAGTATCTTGAGTGTATGAGAAAATGAAGTTAATGATACTTGTGCCTTAGATTTTAAAGAGGCAGAGCATCCATCCCAGAAAATTAAGGTCCGTTTACAGCAAGCTGTCTTCTTGAATACCTTACTGCAGAGCATGTGTGCGTATTAGTACTGTCATAGTTTATTATACAGTGGGAATTAAAATGACTTAACTATTTTAAAACCTAATTATATTTAATTGGCGGAAAAGCATTAGTATTATTTATTGGGTGGTCATCATAACTAGTGATAATTTTTTTTCTTGCTGCATTTTTTACAGTTACAGCGAAAAAGTGTCTTACAAAATATTGCGTTGTTTTTTTTTTTAATTCTACTCCCATTTTCGTATTGGATGCTTTCTTTTGAACTCTTGTCTCAGGATGTGTGCAATTTGTATGTTGGAGAATTAGACTTCCTGTATTTTCTAGTTCTGTTGGTTTTTCACAGTTCTTTCTTCTACTTAGATAAAACAAAAATAAATTTCATGCTTGTAGCAGTAGATTTTAATTATCTCAATGCTTGGCAAACATTAATTAAGGCTTTCTTAAGAGAAAATTGACATTTATCTATATTTATTTAATTTTTTTTCTTGCTTCCTAGCAAGATTATGTGTGAAAATGTGTTAGTTTGATGTACTTCCTGCTACAGTAAATGTAGGCTTCTTTCTGTTGGCATTTGGGAAGATAACTGTAGGTGACTTTACTGCAATAATGTTTGTCAGTCTATGAATCTGATGATTTTTCTGAGTTGGATATTTCTGTCCTAAAGGCTTCTGAAGTCACTAGAGATCAGATTCATCAAGAAGTTTAGCCCTCAGTATGTCAGAATCCATAATAACATGATGTGAAAGGATTTAGACAATGGGTGCAGGAGAAGGAGTAAGTTCAAAATAGGAGCAGGAAAAATCTGAAAAGGAACAGCTACATTCTGAAGAAATCCAGTCCTATTAATAAGATTTAGTTGTAGCCAAAAGATTAAGCTTTACCTGATCTGTAGTACCTTATTTTATATATTTGTTCAGAAAATATTTTACATTACCTGCTTTCTGGTTCTCAGAAGAGCTGTAACTTTTCTCATTGTATTGACTTCAGCTTTACCATAATCTTGCTACTATTTGAGGGAGAAAATGTAAAATGCTCTAAACACCACAAAAAAACTTGATGTGAGCGGGACTAGTTTTGCGGTATCTATAATCCAAACTAATCCTGCCTTTTTGTGCTGAGCATGTCCTAGGACAATATCATGGAATTTACTACTTGATTTCTTGCCCTGCCAGCACCAATGATAGCAGCTCAAGGCAGCAAGCAGCACTTGCTCCCTGCAGCTGGGCCCACTGCAATAGCAGGCAGCTGATGGCTTCTCTTTTCCCAGTACCACCCTTCTAAAATCCTGTTTATTGCAGCAGCTATTAATGATTGTTCCTTGTGTGGCTTCAGCCTCAAAGGCTGGGCAGAACTAGGGTTCCTGTGAGAGGGCATCTCTGTGGCACACTTGAAGGCAAGGAGATGCCATCCTGCTCCTCTGGCCCAAGCTAGAACTGACACGTTAGCAGCCAATTGAAGCAGGCAGTTCTGTTAGGATTGTATTAGATTACAGAACGGCTAGTTCTGTATTGTTTTTTAACACCATTTCATGTTTTCTTTTTGATAGGTATACGTGGGGAGATTAATGTGGTGGTGAAAGTAGATCTCTTCAATGATTTAAACAGATTCAGGCAGTCATCGTGTGGAGTAAAGTTTTTTTGCAGTAAGTAGAGGGAAAAAAAAAGGAAAACCAAAGGTTTTTTTTCCTTCTTTCTTTACTGACTCTGTTTCCCTCCACTTGCCAATTCATTGCATAAACCCACTGTGGATTATGTTGACAGCAATAGCAAATACGTTTAAAATATGTTTAGTTTGTTTCTTTTTAAATTTTTTTTCTTTCATATATTTTCTTTTTACAGAGCAGTGTAGGTAGCTTCCTCTTTCTTTCATCTTTCTGATCATTATGTTACTTTCAGTGAATGTTCTGTTAAAGAGGCAAAAAGTCAAAAAGTTTCAGAATGTTACATGTTTTAGAAGCATTGTAACCAGTACACTGGGCAATTACTGCCCTTACAGCATCTCTGGAACAAAATTGCTCTGGTACGTCCACAATTTAACAGATCAATCTATTTGAAATAGGAATGGAACTTAACAGAAAAAAAAAAAAAAAAGCATGGATTACATTCTGGAATTTTCTGTTAGTCTTTGAATTCATTTGAATTCATTTCTCTTAGACTCATACCTTGCATTTTTTTATATTTCTTTAACAGCTACATCTATTCCGAAGTGTTACAGAGCAGTAATAATCCATGGATTTGTGGAAGAACTGGTAGTTAATGAAGACCCGGAATACCAATGGATAGACCGAATACGTACACCAAGGGCATCAAATGAGGCTAGACAAAGACTCATTTCTCTGATGTCAGGTATTAAACATGCAGGCTGCAGTGGTTATTGCTGCTTTGTAAAAGAAGTCACCATTCAAATTAGTGACTTAGTTTGGAGACAAGGTTGTGTTATAATTTTTGGTATTAAGCGTTTATTTTTTCAGTTCATATTATCTATCATATAATATTATCATATTATGTTTCAGAAGGTTCTGTTGTTCTAACTAATGACTAGTGTGACAGAAAGTCCACCCCACCCCTCTTGGTGATGCCATACTGCTATGCAATTTATTGGCTGTTTTTAGCCAGGCTAAAAAAGAAATGGAACTCCCTTGAAGATGTTGTTTACCCATATGAAGAGTATTAGTGGTACTTCGAGTCTAATAAAGATAGCATAAACTGCCCTTTTGGTACTACATTGAAGCCCTCTTTGCACTACATTGAAGTATGTGAATTAGTATCTGTTGGCATGATCTCAGATATAGTGTACTAATACATACCTTATCATCTTTTCTAAGTCATGATTTGTCTCCCATTTTGAGGAATGCTTCCATATTGCCTTGCAGCTCTTCAGGATATGCTTACAATTTTTGGACAGACTAGTCACTAGAGTTCCAATTTATATCTCCACAGTATCAGTTACCTTCACAGATTGTCTTTCTGTCTGTCTTTCTGTCTGTCTGGTATTAGAAACATGAATACAGCCTGTGAGTCAAGGGTCCCCATCTCTGTGACAGTGGAGCAGAACAAATAAGTCCTGCATTAGAGATTAAAGGACTTGTACGCTAAGACAGGAGACAACCAGTGCTGGAGGTGTAAGGAATACAATGAAATGTTGAAAAAATAATCATTAGAACAGTAGGCAGTGGCTTCAGTTCTGTAATAGGTACTTAATGTAATCAGGTATCTTGTAGATACAACCAGTTTCAGGGCAGATACTAGAAGAAAAAGTAAATTTTGCTTTGCGAATGTATGGAGATGTTTAGTAAAAGGGCAACCTAAACAGAATATGGAGGTGATACTCAATATCTTCACTAAGAGAACCAGTAGATAGTGTGGGAGTATGTGGAACAATATTGCCATAACTGACATGAATTATTAGAAATTTCATTAAAAATTTAATTCCTCTGGTTGCCATTTTAAAGGATTAACATTAGTAAATCCCTTTTCTTGCATAAGAGGTGAAAATAAGTAAAAGAGCGCGTGTGGAAGTGTTCTGTTGTGTTTTATTACTATTCTCATTCATGGCAGTGTAAAGTACCAAAGAGGCCTCATAGTAACACTCTTTTATGCCATATAATGCAGTGCTTCATGTTGCAGTCATTGATTTGTGTCTGAAGAATCCTGAGGAATTTTGTAACTTACAGTAACTGGGGTTTGCAGTCTTTGTGTGCAGTTCTTGGTTTGCAGTAGTAGTGTATTTGGAATTACGTTTTGCTTACTTTATGTCATACATTATTTTTTAGATGAGGTTACCAAGTAAATTAATATAAATTTTAAAAGAACTAAAAGCATGGATAAGGTTAAATGAAGTTAAATAGGTTTTGAGTGTTTGTGAATACAAAAGTAATAGATTTTCACAGGTGTTTCAAAGATGTTGCATTAGATTGAACTGTATGAAGGAGTGTCTATAATCTTTTGTGTGTTCCAGCACACATCTTGACCATCCCTTTCTCTGTCTCTGAATAAACAAGAAAGAGAACAGTTAATGAGAATTTAAAGTAAATAAATAAATTAAAAAATAACAAGCTGCAGTTGCAATCAGAATAGATTTAGGGGAAAAGAGTGAAAACTAATGAAATATCACTCTGTGTTATAGGAAGATGAGGTGCTTAATGTAATTATATAAAACAGAACTATTACCTGTTTCTTTGATCTGCAGTTCCAAAATCATAGAGGACAATGCCCACAATAGAAAACAGGAGAAGTTCACTGCAATTACCTATGAGCTTTTCACTTTTTGTGTTGTAGGTGAGCTGCAAAGGAAGATTGGCTTGAAAGTCCTTGAAATGAGAGGAAATGCTGTTGTTGGTTATTTGCAGTGTTTTGATTTGGAGGGAGAGTCCGGACTGGTAGTACGAGCCATAGGAACAGCCTGCACGTTGGATAAATTAAGTAGCACATCAGCATTTTTACCTGCATGTAACTCTCCATCCAAAGAAATGAAGGAGTAAGTATTAATTACTAGCTTTTAGAGGAACAGACTTCATTTCTTTCCATAGTCATTCAGTTTTACATAACAGGTGTTATTTCCCCTCCCACCCCCCCCTTTCCCCCTCCAGAATCTGTTTTCTTTTGCAGTTTTTAAATTTTTTTTTTTGTCTGGAATTCAGTTTTATTTTCTACAGTTTTGGAATGATGTGGCTTACTTACGTTATTTCTTTAGAAGCTGGGGTGGTATTATGGCTTTTTTTTTTTTTTTTTTTTTTTTTTTTTCATATATATTGCTAGCAAAAGTATTATCCTTGGTCTGGGATTCACAAATTTCCCAATGAATAATTAGTTTGCAGTGACTGTGTTTGTGCAACAAATGGTTCTGTGAAGACGTAATGATATGCCTTGTATTTGAGATGTTCTGGTTGGAGTACAGTCAAGTTTGAGTAGCTGTGCTGATCATAGAAGGGTTTGCACAGTTCAGTCAGCGGTTTAGAGAGTGTCCCTAGGTAGGCTCATCTTTTCTTGTGTCCTTTGCTTTCCACTGTTGCAGAACAGGTAGGGCTAAGGTGTACCTGCAGAGGATATTGTTTATGATGGGAGAAATATAACAGAAATCAGTAAATTCTACTGCAGAGTTAAAGGCAGTGTGCACGCAAATTTTTAATGTGCAGAGGAGTTAGTAGGGAAATACTTGCAGTCTCTAAATTTTTGCTTGGATAAGTTAGTGACTTTCTGTTTCAAAGTGTCAGCCGATTTGTAAAAGGAAAAATCAGTGTTACAAAGTGTACTACTTCCATAATGTTCCCAGACATCTTTATTAACTTACTGTTATGTTATTGCACTAAAAATCAGACATTTTCTAGGAAGCAATGTGCTCTGGCTTCTCAGAAGTAGTTTTCTGTTTCAAATAATAGCTTGTTTAACTTGTCTTTGTTTTAAAACTTTGCCATCGAAAGAGCTTCAAATAAACTGCAGCATGAAATAACAGTGATTATTTAAAACAAACAAAACAAAAAAAACCTGGACCTGGCAACCACCAACTTAAAAGGCTTTCATAGATAACTCTGGAGTGAAAGGTGGAAATTTCATCCACCAAATAATCCTTGTGTAGCAGTTTGGTAGTGGATGTTGACAGAATCGTTGTCCCTCAGCCTAAAAAGTGAGGCTGTTTCTCAAAGCCAGCAAAGTCAACTAATGCTTCTTATTATTGGCTTTACTAACTTGATGCACTGTTGCCAAAAAATCAATTTATAATCATAAGCTAGTACTTAAGCTTTTCCTTTCTCTCTTTATTTCATCTGGACTCTTGCATGCTAGGAATTAAAATTCTTAGTCTGCTTAAAATAAGAGATCTCCTCTAGCTAAACTTCCCTGAAATCATTTATAACATAACTTTGCAACCTGTTTGTATGTATTGTTTTCTTTTCTTCCACCTTGGCTGCAAATTCTCTCAGGTCTCCGCTGGTTCATCCGCCAAGCCATGGATGCCGCTCGACTCACAACAGCCCAATTCACACTGCTACTGGCTCACGACTTACTCAGAACTTCTCTGTGTCTGTTCCCACTCTCATCTACACTGGTACGAGACTGCTCAGACTCAAGAGCTGGGGAGAGGCAGGCCACAAGGCACAGTGGTCGCAAAGTGCAGGCAGGCAGGCAGTGTAGGCAGGTACCACCCATCTTTTCTCCCTCATTTTCTCGTGGAGAAACCTTCTGTTGTCAGTGAAGAACTCTCTGTGCAGCTCCTGAAACAAAGGCAATAGTTTCTTGAAAGTGCATCAGTCTCTTCCACAAAGCCACACTCTTTGTTTCTTTTTAATAAACTTATTTTCTAAGAAATTAAGTAAAAATAAATTGATAAATCTGAGTAACATTTGCTGTGTTACAGTCCTTAGGGGAAATCATGTTTTGATTGGAGTTAACAATCGCTTTCAGACATAATTCAGATATAATACTTTGGTTTTAAAATGGTTAAATGAAGGGTATGTGCCATTTGTGGAAGAGACAACTTTGGAGAGCAGGTAAGTCAATCTGTGCATAAGTGAACTGTTTGTCAATATAGCTGTTCCCATAAAGGTTCTCCTCTTTGCTCTGTTTTTAGCTGTGGCATGCTGTTGATGCTATAGGATAAGGAAACATTTTTTTTTTTTTTCTTAAAATGTATATATGTGTATATACATAAATGTATGGATATGTATAAACACAAATATAACTTGAAATCATTTTTTCTTCATTAAACTAACTCAAACGTTGTGTATATAACTAGATTTTTAAGCCATGAACTGTTTTCAATTTTTTCTTTTGCATATATATATATATATATATTTTTTTTTTTTGGTCCCATCTCATGCCTTTCATTTGGCTTAATTGTTTCATTGTAGATTATCAGCATCTATCTGTAGAGTGCTGAGTGGTTAAACAGCATTTGCCTTTGGCCTCATCCCCAGTCTCGCACCTAAGGAATAGCTGCTGGCCCTGCCCCAACCCCATCCTGGTGTTTGGATCATGCTGCTGTCAGCCAGGTCCTTTGGCACAGGATTACTGAATGTGTTTCCACCTTCTTCTGGCAGGATTCCCTTCAATGAAGATCCCAATCCCAATACTCATTCATCAGGACCCTCCACCCCTCTGAAAAACCAAACCTATTCCTTTTCACCTTCCAAGTCCTACAGTCGACAGTCCTCTTCTTCTGACACAGATTTGAGTTTGACACCCAAAACTGGTAAGGCGCTTCCATCCACTTTTCGTTTAATTTGTGTTTCTCTTTTTATAATTTCATTCAACCTCTTTTTGCTTTTTGACATTTAAGTTATCAAAATTATGTTGAAATTGGAGACTTCAGGTAGCACTTTTGTGCTCAGGAGAATTTCTGCAGGCTGAAAATTTAAATCCTGCCTTAAGTTTCCACTAAGGTGGATAACGTTAGAATTACATTTTTAGCACAACTGAGTTCAGTCCTAAATAAAATATTGCAGAGCATTAAGGGCGTCTGAAGTAATCGCCTTTTTCTTATTTCCTCCATTTCATATTACATACAGATCATGGGATCATTTCTCACCACAATATGTTAACAAGCAGTTTTCTTACTAAAGCTGTAATTTTCTAGCATTATGCATTGTGCTGTAGGTGTGTACTGTTATATACATATCTCTGTGACTATTTAACTCCCTCGTGCAAATGCCTAGAAATACTAGAAATCGTGCAGCTGCTGCCTATTAAATTTTCTTGGCATACAGGAATTACATACACAGTCTGGTTGCTGAATGTAACCTAAATAATACTCCAGTCATCATCTAAAAGCATTTTTCTTTCTTCTTTGTTATATCAAAATTTCTTCAACTTGTTTGATTCTTCCCTTCTTTTTTTTTTTTTCAGTCTATGGTTACAATCATGGCAGTAACAATGTCAGCACAGCTCAAAGAATTACATTGTTTATTATTATATGGCTAGTGCCCTGAGTTTTACCAGCATAGTGGTAAAGATGTTGCAGAATTGTTTATAAAAGCTCACTTTTTTTTTTTTTTATGGTGTTTTAAATTGTGGTGTTTGGAGCTCAGAACATTCTTGTTTCCATTTGATCATTGCAGTTTTTTAAGTATGTTGAAATGGTTGATTCAGCTTTATCTGATAGCATCCCTTCCTTTCAAGAATTTTCCCCAGGAGATAAATGTAATACTGCATTCACATACACTTGTATTAAATGTTTTACCTAGTTTATTCTCCATATTTCCATTAAAAAATGTTCCAGATAAGGGAGCTGTCTTAGTTCTGTCATTTTCACCTTGTTTAAAAAACAAACCCAACCAACCAAAACAAAGAAAGAAAGAAAGAAACAAACCCAAAGAAATGACAACAAAGACAAACAAAGCCAAAAAAAACCACATTACCACTTTATTTTGTGGTCCTTTTGTGTAAATGATGACTATTGTTTGTTTTGTGGAATATTTGAAAATATGTTTGTTTTGATCAGATTTTCATGGTAAGGACTGTGTGGTGTAAAGGATTAAAATGTAATGGTGGTGGTTATTCTTAGTTTATGAAGTGGCAACTCGCTGTGAATTCACCAAGTTTTTGAAGCAGCAGCCTTAACTTGGTTTCTGGCAGTGTTACGTAGTTGGATGATCCCTGTCTTTTGATTCGTTTGTTTATAATTAAACCAGATTGTATAATTGCCACCTTTTAGGAATTCTGAAGTATGTAGAGAAAGCAGACCTATGTTCCACCTGTATTTTTAGCATCAAATCTACCAGTGGGCGTGCTTTTGCTTGCTAGCACTTTTTATCAGCTTTTAACTCTGCTGCTGAATTGTGTCTTGAGATTTGCCAAATGCATTTAAAAATTCACTATCTGGGTGTTACATACTAAATTTTGAATCTCAGTAGCTTAAAGAACAACATCGTTCAGTAAATTGTTTTACCCAAAAGACAATACAAAATGAAATACAAAATATGCTTCCATAATGTACTGAATTCGTTGTGTTGCTTCTAACAATACACAATATGTGTTAGGACCTCTATTTTCCTTTCCAAGAACTGTAATGTTATTGGAATATTTCTGTGTGGAAGCTAGAGAGGTTAGTGCTGAAACAATGTCTGTTGTTGTCTTGGCACAACCTGTTAAACATAAAATTTGAGATACCAAATGAGATTCCTCATTTTTCTGCAATATGTGATAGATAGTCTTTTATTTCTCAGTCAGGTAGCTGGTAGGTTCACGTGCTTGCGATGGAGACTGACCTGGAAAAAGAGTGCAGATACCACAATTTCACAGTATGAATAATTAAACAGGGGAGATGGAAACTTGGATCTGCTTAAGTGTCCAGTTTTCAGTAGCTCCAAATCAGGAGACTGCTGTGCTAATACCTTACAGAAAATACAGCTGTGGTTGCATTATATAGTCTGTTCTGTATATGCTCTAAGTAGAAGAAAAACTTTTTCAGATCTGAGAGTACATGTTTTGGTTTGAAACTGGATTTCTTCTGTGCACAGTGATCTATTTTATGCTGCTGCAAACTAATAGAATATTAGGCTGATGAAAAGCATTGCATATTGTTTGATGTGATATTTGGAGGAAATTGGAAAGGTGGGAACTTCTTTTCTTGGTGGGACCTTAGAATTCAACAGGATATAAGATTCCAAAGAACTTTTTACCAAAGTGATGAAAGTAATCTCTTACTTAGCTTTTATTCCATAACACCTATCAAATTTTATATACAGTTCAAAAGAAATGTTAGATTATCAGGGCTTCTTAATAAAACGAGATAATTTAAAAATGAAGTTGATCAGTTCGTGATTTTTGATAACCTGCTTCTCATTCATATTGTGTAGCTGTACTGTCCTTCCATTTCTTTGTATGTTGAGGAATAGTTCAGCAGTGAGTGTGGGTTCATTTGGAGGAAAAAAAATGCTTCATTTTGTTTTCTTTTTTCTGTTTCTTTAGTCATCTTCTGAATCTACATCTTTTTGTCTCTATTACTTTCCTCCACAGCACTTTCCCCACAGGGACCTAGGATTTTCCTGTTTCCCAGCTCCCCTACACTCTCATGTGATTCCCCACATCTTAAAAAGTCCTGTCTCCTCCTCTCGGGGTCTAGCCTTTACCCTCTACACTCTAGCCATGTCAGCCCAGTTGTTCTGAGGAAAAGTGTTTCTTTCACTGAAGAGCTGCTTCTGGCTGCTTCTGGTAGGATCAATCTATTATGGCCTTTTAAACATTTTAAGCAAATGTTGTTGCTGTTTGATACAGGGACATTTAACACACAGCCTTCTATAACCCAATGTTTTTGTTAGCCTCTGAAAACTGCTGGCTACATGACTGTCCATACCATCTCTCAGCTGTGCCCTAGAAGCTTGTAACAGCTTCAGAATTTCACGCCATAGAGGATTTGAAGCATGTAATTCACGCTAAAGAACTTCCTCGTTTCCCCTCTCAATTTTCTTTGGTAACTGGACTAAATTAATAGACTTGTTTTTCCCCCTTCTCATTCACTTCAGCTTGTTATTCCTCTATTTTGCATGGAACAAGCACTTGCTCATTAATTCATTCATAATTTTTGGAATTATGGCTATCAGATGGCTAGCAGCTCTGCTCTTTAATGCGCGTCAAGCAAAGTCCGTACAGACTTTTTATTTGTACTGCACTTTTTTCCATTCCATTGGCATGCATTTAAATTATTCAGTTGATATTAGTGCTTTTTTTTTTCTGTAGAATGTTTTATTTTTTTTTTTGTCCAGTGTTGATGCTGTGTTTGTCTGTATTTAATATTGTATAGTCCCTGACAATGATATTTAGCTCAATGCCAAATAGTTAAAAGCAATTAAAACTTGTTTAATGGGACTATACATATACTAATCTTATTGTTTCCTTATCCAAGAACAGCTAAAAATATTTGTTAGTAGTTATAGTCTTTATATAGTACATGTAATATATATATAGTATGTACTTACAGTATGTGCAATTAAATGGCAATGAGAGCCTGGTTATTTTTTGACAGTGTTAGTAATGAAGTTAACGTATATCAAGATCAGTATTTCTAGATCTCCCTGTATTTTCTTAGAAGAAGTAACTACACTTTGATATATATATGTACAACCTCATTCATGTTTATTTGATGCTTAACAACAAGAGAGGTACCTAGCAAGTGTTTTAATTAGTTAGAATTACTGTAAATGAGAATCTTGCCTTCACTCATAAGCGTTTGCACTGCAGTGTGTTTGTACTTCATCTTGCTCCTGACATGTCTTTTTGTTCTTTATCCTTTTTCTCAGTGCTTTCCTAAATTTAGGTGCATATTATTGCAGTGTCCAGTTAGCTCTGATGGTTCTAGAGACGATAAGTACCAGTGATAGCGTATTTTTAGGCATGAAATATTACCAAGAAAATCTGATTCACCAGTACTGTGTTTATTGTACAAAAAACACAGTCTTGGTATGTGCTTATTTTTTACTTTTTTGGTTTCTAACAGTAGAGTGAATGCTATAGTTATACATATAACCTGCATCTCGCAGTGCTTAGTTAACCACATGACATGTTGTTCCTTGACAACAGATCCTTGATGGCAAAGATGTTTATGTATCTGATACATTTTAGAGCTCTTCAGAGAAGTTCCCTACTTAGGGGCTGAGGTGGAAGTGAAATATGCAAAAAAAGAAACCAAACAATTAGTCACGATATGCGAAAATATCATTTATTTGTTATTTTTTATTTACAGATGATCTGCAGGTTATGTGTATGAAAACGTAGTAATCAGATAAGTGTAGCCGTTTGAAATGCTGAGCAGTATTGCTAAATTTATCTGATTGAATCAAATGAGTGAATATCTCACGGTGCTTATGTTAAATAAATATCACTACCATATAGTTCAGTTCAAATGATTTGTGTTAGCTTTGCAGTTCTCATTTTAGTTTCACTCATGCAGTGTACAGCTACTGCTGAAATAGCGTGCAGTTACTTCCCAGTGGTTAGGAAAGGTGATGTGGTTACGCTGAAACTCTGGGAGGCAGGGATTTTTTTTTTTTTTTTTTTTAAACCAATAATGCAAGTAGAGAAGTATAGCTTACTATAAAGGAGTTCAAATTGTTCAAAAGTGTGGCGTTACTGGTAACATTGCAGCCCTTTTTAGGTAAGAACTCTGAAACTCTAATGATGCTGAAACTTCCTGCGGAAAGCACAGGAGGGAGATCTATGTATCTGTTCTACTATAAAATGTAGAGGTTGGTGGCCTTGCCTGCGGCAGAGGGTTGGAGCTTGATGATCCTTGAGGTTCCTTCCAACCCGAGCCTTTCTATGATTCTATATTGAAATTAAAGCTTTGTGTTGTACAAAAGAATTGCAAGCCCAGATCTTCAAAGACATGTCAGGAAAACGTCTTAGATCAGGAAATCTTTATCCAAATCTATAATGATTGAAAACACTGCTAGGAATTTTAAAAATAAACTTAAAAACCCATCACCTTCCTACCCTGCCCCACTCACAAAACTCAAATGCTTAAATGCTCAGCATTTTTTTCGTGGAAATTTAAGGGAATAGTTTGTATGGTTTTCAATCACAGCTTCACGTATTTTTAAATTGAAGTTTGATTGCAAATGATAATATGTTTTTATTTATTTTTTTAAATGTCATTTGTACTGGTGCTCTTTAGGAATGGGCAGTGGGAGTGCTGGAAAAGAAGGGGGGCCGTTTAAAACTCTCTTAAGGCAGCAGACTCAGTCAGCTCTGGAACAAAGGGTAAGGCATTTTATACTTACATTTCTGAAATACTGAAGAGAAAATTAAGCTTGTATAGGTTTCCTGTTACTGTCTATTTTAAAAGATGCAGGTTTTTTTGTCTGAAAGTTTACTATAAATGTTGAATGTTTAATAGACATTTAATGTTTATTAGACATTTAATAATTAGAATTCAGGTGAGCTTTTAAAACATATTATTAAAGCCATAAGAATAGTGGAAGTAAGTGTAATGTATGCACATTAGTGCTTACACACAAATGATTACAACTGGTATGACAAAACAGCTAAAGCATAAATTACTGCTGTTTGGTGTCTAAGTTATAGGTGTATGTGTCTATTTAAGACTCTACTGTCACATATTTGGTTGAATTTTTGTAGAAGCCAAAGTCGGAAACATTGAAATAACTTCAGACGAGGTGGAAGTCCCATAATTAATTGGGAAAACTGATATTTGGAAGAAAATAGAGTCGTTGCTTAGAAGTTCAGAACTTGTGTGTTCTACATGAAATGATGTGCGTGTAGACTTTGTAAGATGATAACTTCAACAATTCAGTTCCCAAACAGTGAAAGGAGTTTAGAAGTTTTGGAAGAACCTCTGTAAGACTAAAAATTCAATTTGTTTATATGCTATTGATCCATACTGAATATAAAGCAAAATAAAAACAGTGCTTTAAATTCCTTTCATTTGTTTAAAGATGTTTATGAGGTCTTTGCAGTATGTTTACAGTATATTCTGTTATAATTGAAATGCTGTGTTATTAATGAGATGTCTTGAAAGAAGAAATGTGGAATATTGTGCTATCTGGGGAAAAAAAATGAATGATTATAATTACAAATCCTGAATACCTGTAGAACCTGTGTAAGTTGTTGAAAACAAAGTCAGCTGCGTCTGTGAAATAGAAGTGAATAGCTGCTATTTTGAGTCAAGTGGATGATTCTCTTCTCATTTCTTGTGTTGTCCATTGCTAAGAGAGGATCGCCTCATAGGTTCTGTAGAAGGCGGGTATGTTCTCCAACATTGTGTGACTCTTTGTAGTTTTTTTGTTTGTTTGTTTATTGGGTTTTTGGGGTTTTTTTTTTGTATTGAAGATTTCTAAGCAATGATTTCTGATTTTCTTTGTGAGGTTTCTTCAGATTTCTTTGGAATCTTGCTTATGCAGGAATTTTGTATATTTTTTAGTTTTTTGTTTTAAAGCATTTATCAGATATACTTTGGCTTAATTTATATTTTGCATGTTCATAGATTTCAGTTATAATTTCTCTTTTAAATAGAAATCCATAGCTTTGCTTTTAATGCTGTTGCTTGGAGGAAAAAAAAGATCCATTTCTCTCTCTTTTATCTTTATTCTCCTAACGTTTTAGACGTTTCATGACTTATCTATTATTTATTTAGGAAGCTTCTTAAAAACAATTAAAAATGTCAAATCAGTACAGTTAACATATATCTGGAATTTGAATTATTTGCAAGTTAGTTTGGTAAGAGCTGTATACTGCTAAGCTGAAGAAATACCATAAAATGAGGTGGAAACATGTTGAATCTGTTACTGATTCTAAGATGATCGATATGTAGCAAAACATGCAGACTATTGACTGACACACACAAAATTGCTTTTGTTGTCTTTCTGATAATTTTATGTTGGATTTGTTTTTTATTGCACTTGCCCTCTTTCAGTTACTTAGAATGAATAAGAAAGGTGGGGGAGACGTTTAGCTCAACACATCTTTAGCACTCAGAAGAACGTTTTGTCTGTATCACTGGTCCACATGTACACAGAGCGTTGTAGTTACTTGTGTGGGTTATTTAGGGTAGCACTTAAGCAAAGAGTAAAATTGATGTGTGTGTTATATTGCCACATGTGTTGAAAGTATAGTAAGCTCTTTTGAATCTTAGGTAAGATCATTTGAGCATATGGGTATTGCTAAGGCATATTATAAGCAGTTCATGTAACTGGATGTCTTGTCAGCTTTTTTAATCAAATATGTGTTAGTCTGTTACTTCATAAACTGAATTGGAAATTAGAAGAGATTTTGTTAGAAGAATTATCTTAACTGTTACTTTTTTTCCTGGGAAAGTACACCAGCCATGGAAAATGTGTACATGTGTTGTTTAATATAAATGTATTTTTAGCAGTTCACAGGATTCCTGTTGATTGCAAGTGTTAACTGTATGACACAGCTATCCTTCTGTGTACTTCTGCCTAGAAATGTGTACTGCCTCTGTCAGTAGGCAAAAATTAGCCTGTGTTTTCACACATGCAGTCAAGCACTGCTCTTGATCGTAATTCATCTCTCTTTCAAACTCAACTTGGACAAATGCTGTTAGTCCTCCGTATTTGCATTCTGCAAGTGCTTGAGAGATCTTTATTGCTCCCTTGACAAAACAGAGATCCACTGATATTCATCTGTGAAGAGCACTGCTGGATCTCTGTTGTGTTACAACGCAGTTCTCTCTCTGATTCTTTTGGCTGCACTGCTGACTTAAGCAACTTTTCTTTCCAGTGACTTCTTACTCCTATCCAGGGCACCCCTCAGTTCATTTGAAATAAAAATTATGAGATTATTTGGCCATCTGGTGCGAAGTTGATACACTAAAGAGAAAATCAAGCTTGTAGTAGATTTCCTGTTACTGCACAGCAAACATGTCTAGAATAAGGTAACTCAAACAGGAAATGAACAGTATTTTGGTTTGGATGGCATCTCTGCTCTGGCTCAGTGCCAAAAGCTTCATGAATGTGTCAGCATCACAGGTGATACCTGAGGGAGAGGCACCGTGGTAGGAATAAGGGAATGGCTGGATAGAAAGCTGAGAACTGCTTCCCTGGCATTAGCACCACAGTATGTGTGCGTATGTGGCCTTGTTCCATGTGCTTTTTCATTATTTTATGTGTAATGTATGTAAAATATAGTTTGAATACTAGCAATACATGTATGTATACACACAAGCATTTTAAAGCAGTATATTAAACGTGGCAATTACTTTCTTGTAGCCTCATCAAGCTTTCTCCAAATGCTGGCTGTGAAATGTCAGTGTAGTTGCAAGGATTAAATCAGTTATGTACTTTTTTGAGAGTCCGTGCAATGAATAACAATAACTGAGAAATGATGTAGTGAATTAGAATCGCACAATATGCTGAATTTGACGAGACCTACGAGGATCACAGAGTCCAGCACCCAGCTTACCATTTAGTACTGGTAAAATAATTGGCTGTTTTCAGTTGTAGCTTGGAAAATTAAGGTCATCATGTCTTCACACGGGTGGGAAGATTCTGTGTTCGTACCACCTTATTTTGAAGGTCCATTGCAAAGTACAATAATGGAGGAAGTTTATAATACACAACTATGGCATCTGGTTCAAAGGAAATCTGTTTTCTATGCAACAGGAATGGCTTTAAACTTTAAACTTCTTGAAGTATTACAGATCACCACGTGTAGTTGAGGCTGGGTCTTGTGGTATATTGACTGATACGATAATAAATAAACCCTCTGAGAGAGCTGGGTTAAAAATAGAAATAAAAGGCTATTGTAATAAGTGACAGCCTTCTATGTGCATCGGAAGGAGCGAGACACATCGTTAAGGGAGTAAGAGCATGTTTGATATTTCAGTGAGTTCTTTAGAGTTGTTTGTGTGCGAAATTAATTGAGAGGACATAGGTCTAATTTTAACATATTACATCTAGGTGTATTGATTGAGACAAAACAATGCTGTTATTTATTCCTAGTTTGTAAGCTAAACAGGCTGGGTGTCTGAACATGTTAAGTTTACTTGCAGAGTGAAGCCTTACAAAAACGTGTATAGCAGCTTCTGACTGCAGATTAATAAGCATTTGATTTCCTTGTACTTCAGAGCGCAGAGTGAAAACATTTACTTTGTTCACTACATACACTAAGCATAGCCTAAGAGTGAATATGTATTTCATACAGATAGCATGCACTGAACTTTCTATAATCAATTTTTACTGTTCTAAGAAAGGTAGTTATTAATTTTTAACATTACTAATGCAGGATAACTATTCAGGAGACACAGCAAATGTATATTTGCTATATATATGTTTTGTATATTTTTAAGTTACACATAACGGTTGTCATGGAATTATTACACAGGAGAAAAAATATTGTCACTGTTGTGAATCACTGAACAGTTGATGAAACTGTTCTGGGATTTGTATGTTTTTTTGGCAGAAAACCGTACAGGAAAGAAGTAGGTTGTGTTGTGGTCAGGGTCTTTGGCTGCTCTGACAACTTGCAGAGCACTTCAAGATCTGGTGAAACCTTCTGGTGGAATCTTTTCTCTACTCCTCTGTAGAGATACATTGGTGCTCCTGAAGACAGATCAGCCAGGCAGGTTCACAGATTCCTCTCATGAAGTCCTACTTTTTAGTCACTTCATGAAACACAACTACAGTAGTTTGTTTTGTTTTGTTTTGCCTGAGGTAGTCAACATTGTTATTATTGATGACAAAATTTGCTGCAGTTTTGAAATTCTGTAAAAGTGAAAATACAGAAAAAAAAGGAAGTTCTTAAGAATTGTAAGAGTTCTAGTAAATTTCACATGGGTGGTAGTAATCCTGAAGTGGTCATTTTAAAAGTTGCCTTGGACTTTTGTTCAGAAGGGCTTTTCATGCCATGTATTGCTGGAAGAACCACGATCCTCATTTAATTTGCAGCATGTACACTGTTTAGGTGGAAGCTCAGCTACACTGTACTGTTGTAAGTGCTTTAAGTATGTGAGAAAGGAACCTGTACTGTACTTTCTCTCATATACAGTTACGCTGTTTATTTTATCCATTTAACCAATCATCACTATACAAACTACGATTGCATGGTTTTTCTTTGTATTTTTGCCTCTCCGTTGAGAATTGCTGAACACTAACCTGTCACCTTTCCCCCCATAAATGTGCTATAGAGTGTAATACTGTAGAAAATAAAATCTTGCCATTTTTGGGCTCACCACATTTGAATATGAAGGTTTTTGTCATATATGTAGTGAAAAATTGCTATTATCTCTTAATGACCTCTTGTATTAACATTTTCAAACTGTTGCTAAATCTTATTAATTGCTGATTTCAATTATGAATTTGTAAAAATCATTTAAACAAATGAAATTGGAAATGAATTTCCTTGGTTTAAGAACTTAGTTGTATTTCATAGAAGACTTAAGCTTTATTCCAAAGGATGAATATTTACTACTTATGTTTAGAGCTTTTGTCACTCGCAGAGCAGTCTGCTAATGTATTTGTAAATGTGTCCTCCTGTACTAAGACATTCACTGTTCTTACAGAACTGTAGTTAGCTTTACCCTGTGCTTCAGTATTGAACTGCATTAATTTGTAACAGTAAGCCCTGGAAAATGGAGAAAAATAATCCTTTATTTTTTATCGGTTAACAAACATGTGTTGCTTAGCTGCCTTCTTAAAGGCAGACCAATAAAAGCTTTGTTAACTCAAACGTGTAAAGCTTTGATTACTAATTAATACTATGTTAGAATGCAACTCTATGGGGGAAAAGTATTTTTACATTTTTAGAATAACTCTGCTTTTCTTACACTGTTGGTCTGTGAAGATGTATGGTTACATAGTGCCTAGTAAGTCTGAAGGATACGCTTGGCCCTCTGTAACTGCTTTATTTGTATTTCAGGGCAATGATCAGTTCACTGCATGTTTAGTGGCAATTACCAGTAGTTGATGAACAGTCACTGATGCTTGTTTTTACTCGTGACAGGAATTTCCATTTTTTACCTTGACGGCCTTTCCACCGGGCTTCCTTGTCCACGTTGGTGGTGTTGTTAGTGCCCGTTCTGTGAAGCTCTTGGATCGCATTCACAATCCTGGTACGTTGACACAATACATTTCTCCTAAGTTCTATCGTGATGACCACGTACTTCTAATCCTTAAAATGTTATGAGGTAGTTGTATTTTTAATAAAAATACATTCTAACAGTGTATATTAAGAGCAATAATTGAAGCTTGAAAAGTAGTAGGCAATCAGAGGGTTTGTCTTCAGTGAGAAATCTCTCATCAAGTTAGTGAAATTCTGATAGGACATGGGATCCATTAATTTCACACCAAGAATTGTCTTTGAATTATCGAGACTACTTATTTTTGGCTACTTCTGAATATTAAAGCATGAGGCAAGATTTCCTTTCAAACAAAAATCGGATGAAATACTTATATATACTTATAAATGTTTTCTAATTTTTAGCTCTTTGAAATCCTTAAGGACTGATCTCTGCATTCTAGCTCAATATGTGTTTTTAACCTCTGTTGATAAAACCTTTGGAGTGTTTTGTTTTTACTTAAAAACACACACAGAACAATTTTTTTAGTGTTTTTTGTCTAATATTTACCTAGGAACTCCAGTAATGGAACATGTATTTTGCATGTTTCTGAAATCAGCATTATGTGACGCTGAATACTTTTGGTGTTACATTAATTGATACAAGTAGAAGTGCTCTGTAAAAAGTTGGAGTTAATCAGTGCACTTAAAATGTAAGCAGATGAGAGAATACAATAACACCTGTAGTAATTTTGCATGCACTGGCCAGGAGTAATAGAACATAAAGTTTGTGCAAATGCATCTTTTTCCAAAAAAATTAGAAAAAAAACAACAAGAAATCTCTCTCCTTTCCTTCAAGGCAGGTAATTCTTAAAGCAGGAACATCGTTCCTGATTATGCTGACAAAATGAAATAAAATCCCAGACTAGATTTGAATTCAAGTAAACTACTTTACGAAATTTTTAAAGCATCTGAGTACAGAATATTGTTCTTTTTTCCCTATTTTTAAGCTTTTGTTTATGAAGTAGAGAAAATATTGAGTAATGTCAATGTATAATTTGTTTGTTCTTTTTTGATACAAATTTGTCTCAAGTGTCTGTATTTTAACATATGTGATACAGATACGACATTTCATGTACAGATGACATTTGTGATACAGAACACTTACATGTGGAATGTACTATATGATAAGACAAAATGAAAAAACTGGAAGCGGGAGAAGAATGTAAAATAGAGACACACATTTGAACTGTTAAGTGACTTTTTGCAACTTAAAGGGGTTTTTTTGTGATTTTTGGATTGCTCCTGACGAGTGTATGTAACATACTTCATACTTCAAACTCAGCATATTGCAAAAAAATGAAAACTGAAAGAGGGGAGTGAAAGGACGTGCCAGTGGGAGGGAAAGTGAAGAGGTAGAAACAAATTCTCTTATGGTGATGGCCATACAAAGCATTTCAGTCAAGCTTGTAAATTAATTGAATTACTTAAGCTGGCAAGTGAATATGCAGGAAATTGTAGAAGAGGAAAAAATACTAAAAGAGGTTGTTTGAGAACTTACGGATTACACAGTAATTGCTGTTTATTGTACACTTTGATCACGCCTACTGCTAGATTGCTATAGCATGCTCCTTTTTTCCCTTTCAGCCTCTTATTAACTCTGCTGTCTGTGTCTTTCCAGTTCCTGTGGAGTGATGTTGTCAATTGTGTTCTTGTTGGTAGTTTTTTATTTTTTCACTTTTCTGCTCCTATAACTGATCTACTAATTTGCTGTTTTGAACTCAGCCTTTGTCGGAATTATGGGTAACACAAGATCATACAAACTGCTAGACTGGAATAGTTTCAATTCAGGTATTTTACTAGTCATTCAGTACTACATATGCTGACAGAAATTATGGCAGCTCAGTGAAGTTCTTAGATATGCTGTAGGATATTAATTAGGTTAATGCTTCAAATTTAAATCTGTTTAACAGTGACATGCCTCAATGTCTTGTTCTAATGTTGTTGAAGGCTTTCTTTAAAATCACAAAACATTGTTTTAGTATAAAATAGTATTCCTAAGATTAATATTATACTAATCCAAAAAGCCTTGCGTCTAGAAAACAAGTGAGCTAGGTAAGGAGAATGGATTCTGATTTTACACAGTTGGGATCATGTCAAATGTGATTTTTTTGTTGTTGTTGTTTTGTTTTAGTTTGCATGATATTGCACTTTATTTAATAATGGCTGTACTTCTGTTAATTTCAGGAAATCAATGAATATGTTTGTTCTAAATATTTGACATAAAGTATGCTGAAAGCAAGAAAAATAGACTAAAGAAGATGGTCTCTTCAGAGAGGGTAGTATGTTGTCTAGAATGTGCCGGTTCATAAATCTTGTATTGTGAGATAGAATTATCTTGCAAGTTTTACAGCAGAATTATTTAAGCTTTTAAATCTCTTCAAAACCTAATGTGAAAAAGCCCCAATTTTCTACTTTTTATGCTGTTTTAGGGATCAGAATGTGTAACATCTTTATACAGCTCCAGAGAAAATGGAAGAGTTATGGTACAGTCTACATGAAAGCTATGTGAAGTACTGGCCTCTTACAGGGAAAAATGAAAACGATCTTTCTTAAAGATTCCCTTTCTTCCTTCTGGAAATATAAAATGGTATGGAAGAAGCAGAGGTGTAACTTCCATGCTTATAATATCCAAGTCAGTGAAGCCTGCCAAGCATTGCTATTTTCAAAACTGACACAGTACAAAGGCAGAAAGGTGACTTGGAGGGATTCGTTTTTCCCCAGAATCAAACTTGCCTTCTTGTTACTGAAATGTTGCTTTGCACATCTGTATTGTGTCTTTGGAAATTGTACACAGTCATGCTCCAAACTTTAGTTTAATTATCTATATACGTTTTTCATTTTACAGATAGTTCAATTACAGGTAGTGTGTGAAACCACTGGCTAATTTTTTTGTCCTTGTTTCTTCCCACATTAAATGTCCTGGAACGTCAGAATTAGGAGGTTTTATGGCTTTTTCGTTTGTTTTATTTTTGTTTATTTTCTTGTTATGAAATAGGATCTTTTAATTTGAATTTCAATTTTCATATGAAAATAATGTTATGAAATTTTCAGATTTATTATTGGTGTAGTGTAGCCTGGTTCAAGATGTTTCATGTTATTATGGAAATTTTATTAGAATAATGGAGTAGATTAATTGTGTACTGACACTAAACTGCATTAAACAAGGCTAAAAAGGAATGCAGTAATGTAAGCCTACAAAACTAAAGGCCAGCTAGTCATGACTTCATTTTAAAACAATGGCCTAAATTGCTTAGAGGTGACAGAAAAATGAAGACATGAAGTCTGTTATATGTATTTATACCCAAAGGTGTTGGTTATGCAGAAATTCTGGAGCAGAGAAGCCTAAATCAAGCACTAATTTTAGAGTTAATAGTTTCCTGCGAGCCAGAACTGTCTATATTTCTTTAGCCTTGACACGTGTCAGCAGCTCTCTCACTCTTGATTTGTCTTATTGGTCAGGGACTGTGCGAGTTGTATTCACATTTGTTGGTTTTTCATTGCCAGGGATGCTGCTGAACAAGAAGAGCAAAGGAATACAGTGCATCAGGTGTTAGGTGTGATGTGCAGTAGGCAGTAGATTTTGTAGTAGAGTTCAGATGATATACTTTAACTCTGTCTTAGACTGAAATAATGATGGTGTTGTGTAAATCTGCTACTATTGAGAAATCTAAAATTTCTGTTTATCTCCCTCTTCTAGACGTTTCTTGCCAAGTCTCTTAATGCTTGGCTTGAAGGAGAGAAGAGGCTTTTAAAGGTTAAGGGAAAGAGTACTGTGCATTTACTGTGTATTCCTGTTAGTAAGAATGTAATCACAACCATAAGTAGCCTAAAATTATTTTCCTTTTAGAAACTGTTCAGGCTTCGTAAGGATATGGAAAGAAATTCCTTTTCTTTCTTTTCTAGTGGTCAGGAGGTTGTTTAATGTGTAAGATGTGGCGACATTTGATGAAAAGATGCAGAGATTTGAGCATGCCTGAAAATCAAATGTGGAAGTAAGGAATTATTTGAATTTGATGAAGGAAAAATAAATTTCTTAAACTACAAATTGTGCATAGTTATTGACATAATTGTTACACATTTGCAAAGTTAGGAATAAGCTGTGGTCAAGATGAATCTGCAGTATAAATGTAGAGGTGAAGAGCACAAATTTGTCGAAACAAGGGCACTACTGGATGCCATTTCTGTGGCATCCTACAAGAGGATGTTAAAGATGTATTGTAAATATAAAAGTGTGAAAGAAGTCCTAGGTCCAGCAGGCTGGATCTTTGGTAGTTTTTCCTTAAGGTTCAATACAGAGAAGAAAGGTTCCTAAGCAAGTAAAAGAAACTTGTTCAGTAGACATCACTTTCACATACAGTCATTTCATAGACTAAAGTATCCAATATATTCAAGTAGTCACATTTTTAACCTCCTGCTTCAGGGAGCTGCTCTAATAGTGCTTCTTTAGCTCCAGTAGTCAGAAATGTGAAAGGAAAAAAGATTGTTAATATAATTCCCAGAGCTCTTCTGAGATCCTTGTGTGATATTCCTGACTTGTTATTGGAGTGTGAAATTCTCCAGAATGCTTGTTTCTTACGTGAGGAAAGGCAAGAGGAAAGCCTGAAAATGTTTTGATTCTAAAACTGAATGCTTTTCTGTCATGGAAATACGAACATACAGTGGTTGTGCAAATTACATTTCTTACTGCTATCTGGAGTGGTAATGTGGTGTACTTGAAAAAAATGCAGTAGGAAACATCAGAATGTTCTCATTACAGTCTAAAGTTCAGATCTTTAAAAAAAAAAAAAAAAAAAAGGACAACTACATTTTAAGGTTGACCTCTAGGTTTTTCTTGAAGAATTTCCGGATTGACTTGCAACACATCAGTGTGTATTGATAGAATAATGGTACAGCAGTTGTCAGGGTGTTTTCTGAATGGGGGAGAATGAATAAAAGCTACATGGTGTCTGAATGAATCTTTAACTTTTTGTTCTTTATTAATACGTGTATTAA